AAAAGAAAAATACATCCACTACAATGAGGTGAATTATGGGTAGCACGACAATGATAGATGCTTTCAGATATTTTATTCATCTCACAAAATACATCTAAGAGTAAATAAAGAAAACATGATGATCTCATATAAGAACAAAATAGATTATTACAAACTATTTGTTTAGTAATGACGTTCGATGCAAATTGCAGAATGTCACTTTATACTGTGATCAACTATTGCATGAAAAATGAATGGTTATGAGCATTATTTGCACATTCGAAGTGTTTCTCAGGTCTTGGTGTTTTGCTTCTTACTGGTGCAGGAGTATCTAAATATAAATATAGAATGAGTAAGATTTCAACATATCCACAAGAGCTTTTCGTATGTATTAGATAATGCAACACAAACAGACAGAAAAGAATATGCCTAGACTACATTTATACTTACCATTCAATCCTTTTAGATGTAGAGTTAATGAATCATTAGCATCAATCACGTTATAGCTTGCTACACCCAGTTTCATACCAGGAAATAGCAAGGCTTCATTCCAAGGATTTGCTGAATAAGCACCTATTAACTTTCCATTGACAGATTCATAACCAATAAGAATTATCTTTGTAATACCATTTTTCTCAAGATAGTCTTGAATTTCATTAGATGATTGTAAACATAAGCCCATAGAAGTATAGAGTGTTGGTGATTTTGAGCTTAGTTTCTCTATGATACTTTCATCAAAAGGTGTTCCTTGCCAAATTTCTTTTTTTGCATTAGGTAATTTATCAAATGCACTTTTGAATAATCTAAGATATTTATACCATGGTTTCATTCTAGATCGATCTTGAGAATTCCATGCTTCTTGCAAATGATCATAGAGACATTTATTAGACCATTTCATTGTATAAATATAGATAGCAGCTGATTCATCACGTGTAAGATTATGTTCTGATGGAAAGTGACATTTAGTTTTCGCTTCTTTGATATAATAAGATAATTGATCAATTTGACCATTGAAAGGTTGAAGTGCTTCTTCAAGAGACGCAAGTGGTTCATTGAGATAACCATCAATAAGTTTCAAAGG